ATTGTGTTTAAAACTTTCCAGAACCGGAGAAGCAACAATGTATCTTTATCCTGTTGATAGCCAGACGAGAGTAAAAGTGAAAAGTGAAAGTAATCCAGAGAAACGGCAGATCCGCAGCCATTTTCTCTCACTTTAAATCCTCAGTAAATAAAGAAGATGTTGATAATTTTCAAAGTTAAAGTCCCAATAAATCCATTACCATTCCAGCCTCCTGTTCAGTTCTGTCTGCTTATAATTTTAAATCAAATACCTTCGATCGCAGAGGTGGGAGCTGCATCTGGCTTCGCTCCACAAACAAGGAGCGAAGGCATCTCGGGGCGCGGAGAGTGTCCAGACTCCGGGCGAGCTAGCATCTTTCACCCCGGATTAAGACAGAACCAGGGCGAAAGGAAGCTCTAACCCTATCCGGACTCACTCACCTCCCCCTCTTTGCCCGAGGGACAAGGTTCCTAGCCGAGAGACAGCTGGCAAACGCTGTCTCTTCAGGCTTTGACGCGCTCCCGGACAGGCGGCTAAAAAAGCCACCATGCGATGCCAGCTGTCACCACCGGAAGCCTGCTTGATGCTCTTTTAACCTATTGATCTGAGCAGGAACCCCTCAGATCTTGTCTTCCATGCCTGCAATCAGGTTCTCCGAATAAAAGTTCCTTTTGGAATCGATTTGTTCCAAGAGTCCTGCTTTCTAGGGATGAGGTTTTGAAGCGGGTCCTTACATATTCTTAACCAGTCAGTTAGGTAGAAGTGTGCTGGTGGAAGCATTTAAGTTAATAATCTTAATCCTGCAACATCTTGAAGCTCCAAGGACCTATGCAAGGATCCTTGTTGTAGACTTCAGCTTGGCATTCAATACCATCATTCCAGATATTCTTCTAACTAAATTAATTCAGCTATCCATTTGTAAGTGGATGTAAGCTTTCTAAATATATAGGAAGCAGCAGGTAAAGCTAGGCAAAATCACATCAGATACCTGTACAATTAGCACAGCCCCCCCCCCGGCTGTGTGCTTTCTCCACTTCTCTGTCTATAACAACAACTGCATCTCAAAGGATCCCTCTGTTAAAGTACTGAAGTTTGCAGATGATACAACAGTGATTGGTCTCATTTCAGACCATGACGAATATAGATTGAACAACTAGCGTTGTGGTACGGCTGGAACAATCTTAAACTTGAACACACTCAAAACCGTAGAAATGATAGTAGATTTTAGGAAAAACCTCCTATTCTATAATACTAAACAATGCAGTATGACCTTCAAGTTTCTAGGTCAGTGAAGGCGAACCTTTTAGAGACCGAGTGCCCCAAAACTGGCCCCTGCTCCGCCTCCCGCCCTGCCTGCTCCACCCCTGCCCACCCCCTGCCCCGCCTGCCCGCAGGGCCACGCACCGCCTCTATGGTCCACCACAGATCGCCCAGGCAGCCCTGCAGTGCCATGGCAGCCACGCCCTCCGCCCACATCCTGCAGCATCATCTGCACGCTATGGGGCACGAGGGCGGAGTCTTGTCCCTGCTGCCCGGCTATGTCCTTGGCTGTGCTGCTCCGTGTGGGCCACGCCCGGGAGCGACTCTCCTCCAGGGGGACTGCTGGTGAGGAGGGGGCTGTGGGGGAGACATGGCTGGGGCGACGGCACGCGTGCCCACAGAGAGGGCTCCGAGTACCGCCTCTGGCACGCGTGCCATAGGTTCGCCACCACTGTTCTAGGTTCTATAATATCTCAAGACTTAAAATGAAGACCTAACATCAAAAATGTCATCAAAAAAAGCACAACAAAGAATGTTCTTCCTGTGCCAACTCAGAAAGCTCAGACTGCCCAAAGAGCTGCTTATACGGTTCTACAAGGGAATTATTGAGTCTGTCATTTGCACGTCTGTAACTGTCTGATTTGGCACTGCAACCATCACCGGGTAGTTAGAACTGCAGAAAAAATAATTGCTACCAGCCTGCCTTCCATTGAAGTCCTGTATACTGCACAAGCAAAAAAGAGGGCTGTGAAGATATCTATCTACAGAAGTTATTTCAACTTCTTCCCTCAAGACGACCCTATATGGCATTGCACACCATAACAACCAGACACAAGGACAGTTTTTTTCTCCCATGCCATCACTCTGCTAAACAACTAATTCCCTCAACACTGTCAAACTACGTAGTAAAGCTATATTACTATTATTCTTCTCATCTTTCCTATTTATCTCCTTATCTTCTTATGACTATAACTTTCTGGCTTGTATCTTATGATATATATTGTTTTATTTAGTATCCTAGTATGATGTATGTTGTTTGCTTATCTAGCATTCTATCATTATCACTAAGTGTTGCATCTTATGATTTATGATGAATATATTTTTATGATGATTATGATCATGATTTATCACCTGTTGTTTGTATGTACACTTGTATGTACACTGGAGACAAATTTCTTGTATGTCCAATAAACAATTCTATTCTATTTGGCTTGTGAAAATTAGTACAGATCAAAGAAGAACATATGGAAACTATCGTTCCAAATAAAGGTATTGTTGAATCAACAATGGGAAAAAGTGGTCCTAGATTTTAGCTGATGCCCTGTACTAACTTAGGTCTGCTGATAAATATGTTGCTTTTCTCATCACGTGTGCTCTCTTTTGTAGCTTGGTGTTCATGAGGAGGGCTTTATATCTGAAGGCCTTAATTTTCAGATGCACAATCCCCTGTAGCTAAAATTCCTAACAAAAGTGTTGAAATCTCTCTCTCCCAGGAGAAATTGTAACCTATCAATGGAATGTTCCTGAAAGATCTGGTCCAGGACCAAACGATTCTGCCTGTTTGAGTTGGATCTACTATTCCACAGTTGATCGTGTCAAGGTGTGCGTTCTTCCATTCCTCGTTGTTGATGTCCTCTCCCAGGATGGGAGGGAGCTGCCCAAGGAAGTGTCAGTGGTCAAGGTGGAGATTAGGAATGGCTGAAGCCCCAACCATAGCAGCTGCCTGGGTGACTTTGAGACTGTCATTCTCCCTCAGCCAAGACTACCTCACGGGCTGGTGGTTGTAGGGAAAATGGCAGAGGGAGTCTCATGCATGCCATCTTGAGCTCCTGGAGGAAGTGGTGTTTGTGTATGTATGTGTGTTTGGTGATATATCCCTCACAAACAAATCTGTATGCTAGAAGCTGTTCACAAAAATAAGTAATAAAACAAAAGAGACGTGAACATGCATCAGCCTCCTCAAAGCAGTCTTCCTACCTCGGCTTTTCTCTTCTGCCCTTTGTTCTTCCAGCACAGAAGATGAAGGAGCAGCTTCTCCTTTCAAAGAAGTCTGACCTGCATCTTTCCTTCCGCACTAGTCTTAACCCCGGTTCTGTCATGTTGTGTCCTACTGTTGCCTGCAGCTTTTACAACAGCAATCCTACTCTGTAGGTCGTTTTTGGCTCATAACCATAATTGAGCCCAGAATTGCAGTCATAAATCATGCCAATTGTTAAGCAGGTCACTATGTGACCATACCCAATTTTACAATCTTTTTTGCAGCAGTCATTAAGCAAACATAGTGGTTGTAAACACCGTGGTCATTAAATGAATGCTGTGGTTATTAAACAAAACCATCATCATTAATGGGTGTTTCTTGTTGGAAACCTGAAATAAACGATGGATTCTGGAAAAATGTTGCAAATTGTGGTCAGGTGACCGTGGGACAATACAGGTGGCTGTAAATGCTGGCCAGTTGCCAAGCACCCAAAATGTGGCCCCAGAAGGCGGGCAGAACTTCACATCCATGTTGCAAGTGGTTAGACTGGGAAAGTCCGTTATAACTGGTTGCCGGCTGAGAACCACTTTGACATTGGCTGAGGCGAAACCAGCTGAATAGAATGGTACTGAGTTTTACTATTCCTTTGTTCTTGTCTTTAAGGTCTTGACTGATGCAGCTGGCTGTGCTCTGTGCTTGTATGTTAATGAAAAGTATGTGGAGTTCTAGCAAATGTTTGCAAAGAGTTTTGCTCTCTCCTTTTCTGGCAGGATTTGTACAGCGGCCTCATTGGCCCCCTGAAAGTTTGTCGTAAAGGGACACTAGATTCCAATGGGAGAAGGAAAGGCGTTAGCAAGGAATTCGCCCTCCTCTTTTTGGTTTTTGATGAAAATCAGTCTTGGTACCTTGAGGAAAATGTCAAGACTTATATCCAAGGTGATTGGAACCATTCCCACCAGCAGGACGAAGAATTTATGGAAAGCAACAAAATGCATGGTTTGTAGATCTCTTGTGCTTTTTGCATTAGCGCCAATGATGTCTTTGCACATTGCAAAAAGAAAATTGCCTTTCTTACTGAAAAACAAGAAATTTCTAAAACAAAACTGACTGCTCCACGTGCATTTCTGGAGTGCCAATATGCATACAACTTTAATTTCCCTAGGAAGAGCTCATTGTATAGAGGTTTTGTCATAGAAAATTCATTTTCAATAGAAGAATATCTGTAGTTCAGGGTTGAACTGTGGAGTCCTTATTGCTCCCTGAGCTTGCAGATGTTTCGTTAACCTCATCAGTGCGAGTGAGTGTGGGGTTTGTTCTCTGTTCTGCCTATGTTGGTGGGGAGGTGTGATTTTCCCCTTGGTAGTTTCCTGATTATGGTATTGTTTTCTGCTTGATCATTTATCTGGAGTTGGTTATTAGATAGGATATGTTCTGGGCATTATCCAACAAAATGAAATTCAATGGTGAAAAAGTAAGGTTCTGCATTTAGGCAACAAAAACTAAATGCACAGGTATAATAGGGGGTACCTTGCTCAATAATAGCAACTGTGAGAAGGATCTTGGAGTCCTAGTGGACAATCACTTAAATGTGAGCCAGCAGTGTGCTGCAGCTGCCAAAAAAGCTAACACAGTGTTAGGCTGCATTAACAGAGGGATAGAATCAAGATCACGTGAAGTATTAATACCACTTTACAATGCCTTAGTAAGGCCACACTTGGAATACTGCATCCAATTTTGGTCACCACGATGTAAAAAAGATGTTGAGACTCTAGAAAGAGTACAGAGAAGAGCAACTTTTTCTTGCTTAGGGGACTGGAGGCTAAAACATACAAAGAACGGTTGCTGGAATTGGGTATGTCTAGTTTAATGAAGAGAAGGACGAGGGGTGACATGATAGCAGCGTTCCAGTATCTCAGGGACTGCCCCAAAGAAGAGGGAGTCAAGCTATTCTCCAAAGCACCTGAAGGCAAGACAAGAAGCAACGGATGGAAACTAATCAAGGAGAGAAGCAACCTAGAACTAAGGAGAAACTTCCTGACAGTTAGAACAATTAATCAGTGGAACAACCTGCCTCCAGAAGCGGTGAGTGCTCCAACACTGGAAGTCTTTAAGAAGAGATTGGACAGCCATTTGTCCGAAATGGTATAGGGTTTCCTGCCAGAGCAGGGGGTTAGGCTAGATGACCTCCAAGGTCCCTTCCAACTTTATTATTATTATTATTATTATTATTATTATTATTATTATTATTATTATTATTATTATTATTATTATTATTATTATTATTATTTTGTTTCCTTCTTAGTTTTTTTATTGTCTCTTTTAACCTGGTGTGTAAATGTTTATCCACATAAACCATCTACCTTCAAGGTGGTAGAGATGCAGGTTGCCAATCTTGCATGTATCTATTAATGGTTTTATCTGGATGCCAAGCTTCCATGAATTTCCTAGCATTTTGGATTTCACAGTTTTCATGTTGAAACTATGGTAGTCTGTCCATGCATTATGAAATGTCTTGCAAGGAATTTCCATTGTATGTTCTGAACCGCTCGTCAACTGTCCAACTGGCAAACCCAGAAAAAGAAATCTTCAAGGCTTTGAAGGCCATAAAAGATAAGCTTTATTGAATACACATCTCGGAACTAAAGAAGCAAAACCAGCTCTGGTTTTCCCATGCGAAAATCTGCCTAGTTAAACAATAGCTTCCTTTAACCCCAACCCTCCGTGTGTTCATGTTGTCCAATTATAGATTTTTGGTTTGTTATGGGAACGGTCCACTTCTCCATCAGACACCTGTGTTAGTGACCTTAACATTCTTGCAGGCTCTCATAGTCCGTAAACGGCTTCTTAGAATCCCATTTCCTCCCTACGCTTTCTACCCCTACTCTCTGTTTCTATTGCATGTTGAATAGTGATAGAAGTTAGCAGGCATCTTAGCGATTCAGCCTTGATACTGCTAGTTAGAATAATAGAATAGAATAATAATAACTCTATTGTCACTTTGAATGTACACTAATCAGCATACATTAAAATGAAAATTCGTTGCATAGAGTTCTTAAAGGATCACCACCTCCGATATACACTACATAAATATGACCAAAATAAACAAATAAATACAGAAGTATGCATATTATATGACACAGAGAAACAACAGTCTAGTTTGGGTTATGTATACATGGACATGGTGAGAAAAATGAATCTTGTGAGTTTACCAGATGGTAACCAGTTTACCAGTTGTTCATGGATGCACTTTGCTAGTCTTCTGCCAGTTTGTCCTACATGGTGGTAGCTGTTACATTTTTTACAGTGTCTGTTATAGATGACTCCTGGGCTTTTGAGGGTGGGGGCTAATGAGTGTTTTGGTTTATTTAAGATGTTTTGGAGGAGTTCAGTTGGTTTCTGTGCTACAGTGATGTGTGGTTGTAATAGTCTGTTGGTTATTTCTAAGATATTTTTTATGTTTGGTAGTGTTATCCTTTCCATAGCTTGGTTGTGCTATGGTGGGTTGACTGGTCAGGCACATTTTGATAAAATTGTGTAGTTTTCCATTTGGTTGGAAGATGTTGTATAAAACATCTGTTTTCTTTTCCTGGTGTTCTGGGTTGTTGTAGTGTGTTTGTATTCATCTGAATAATGTTCTTATACAGCTTCTATTCTGGGAAGTTGAGTTGTAACTTTGGTAATGGAGCACTTGGTTAGTGTTAGTGATAGAGTTGTGTTTCTGATTTGCTATTATTTCCTCTGCTGATAACAATATCCAGAAAGGATAGCCTGTTATTTTCTTCTTTCCTTGTGAATTTTATTCCTTTGAAGAAGTTGTTGATTGTTTTATGTATTGAAACGTCCAAAATCATGGACCTCATCGACCTCTTCCTCACTACCTAGCTTCAGTTTGATGAATAGATACACCAACTATTCTGATTGAAGCTTTTAGCATCTGTGATCTGTTTTCAAGTTTTTGGAAAGTTGTACCACTTCTTCTCTCAGTTGGCTTTTCTCAGGGTAAACATACCATGTTACCCCAAAAATAAGCCCCTCCCCTAAACTAAGACCTACCCTGATTTTTTGGGGGGGCTAATATAAGCCCTACCCAAAAATAAGCCCTAGTTAGGACTCCATCCCACCCCTGCCCACTCCATCCCACCTCGCTGTTGCAATGGGGCAGGAGGCCGTGCGGCACATCGCGCCGCTGCCACCACAATGAGGCAAGGCAAGTGGGGGAGGGGGTGGAGCTGCCTCACGTGCCCCCACCCACTCCCACCTGCTTACCGGTACTTCAGCCCCCCCCCCCGGCCAGGCCATTCCTTGGTCGGCGAACTTTCACTCCTCTCCCGAGCCGGACTGCCATGATACAGTGGATGGGAGGGCAGGGTAGGCCCGGTCCCTCTCCACCGTTTTGGAGCCAGGGAGGAGTGACGGCGAATGGCTCCACTGCTGCTGTGTACCGCAGGAGGGGCTTTCTTTAACCTTCGCCCTGCAGCTCACCTGCCCAGGTGCAGCCGCCGTCTCTTTGTCCTCCGCCAACTCTCCCAGTCGCCTGTCTCTGCCAGTCCTTTGTCGCCTGTCTCGTGGAGAACAGAAAATGCAGCTGCAGGTAAATGGAGTTTGTGGGACTAAAAAAGTTCAGTCAGACTTTCTAACTTCTCGTGAAAAACAAAAAAGATTTCGTGCCAGAGCTGGAAAGCAGGTTAGCAAAGAAATGCTTTCAGGAAGAGGGAGGAGCTGCACTGGGAGGAGAAGTGGCAGGAAACAGGCTGCTGTTTCCAGAAGGGAGAAAGGAGAAGGGAGGCATGGGGCAATGCAGGAAGCAAGCAAGGGCTGTTCTCTGCTCTGCATCCCTGCACAGAGCCGCTGCATTCTCTGTTCTCCATGAGACAGGCAACAAAGGGCAGGCGGCTGGAAGAGTTGGCAGATGACAAAGAGACGGCAGCTGCGCCTGGGCAAGTGATCTGCGGGGCGAAGCTTAAAGAAAGCCTCTCCAACAGCGACAGCAGAGCCGTTCGCCGTCATTCCCACCTGGCTCCGAAATGGCAGAGGAGGACCGGGTCTACCCCACCCATCCCATCCACCGTAGCATGGCAGTCTGGCTCGGGAGGGGAATGAAAGGTCGCCGATCAAGGAATGGCCTGGCGGGCAGGGGCTGAAGTAAGTAAGTAAGCATGTGTGGGGCCCATGAGGCAGCTCCACCCCCTCCCCCACTTGCCTTGCCTCGTTGTGGCGGCAGCGGCGTGATGTGCCACGCAGCCTCCTACCGCAAGCGGCCACAGCAGAAGTGGGCCAGCAGCCACACAGGCTGCTGGATGGGCCTGTTGGTGCCGCCACCGTGAGACGAGGCAGGTGTCACGAAAAATATAAGACCTAATGCCTCTTTTGGAGGCAAAAATAATATAAGACAGGGTCTTATTTTCGGGGAAACACGGTACTTAATTTGTCCAATCATTCTTCATAAGTTTCAGTTGACAGTTACCTAATAATTGCTTCTGTCCTTCTCACAGATTTGTTCCAATTTCTGTGAGTCTCACAGTCCGTTCCTTCCAGCTCTTTTCTGATTAAGATGATTTGCTTACCTCTACAAAGCAATTATATGCAGGCCTTGATTTACAACCATAATGGTTGTAACCATATACAACCATAATACCAATTGAAGTTGTAACTTGTGACAGTAGTAAAGTGTGACCAACGGAATTGTAGGAGGGCTTTTTGGCGGGCAGTAATTAAGTGAACCTGGGTTTTGCCAAAAATATTGTAAATCGTGGTCATGTGACCACAGGATGCTGCAAATGGCAGTAAACATAGGCCATTTGCCAAGGGCCCAAAATGGGCATCATGTGATTGTGGGGGGGGGCAGTCATTAAAACTTCAGAACCAAATCATCAGTACTTTTGGGGGGGTCCATTGTAACTTTGAATGGTTGCTAAGCAACTGGTCGTAAGTTGAGGATTATTTGTATCGACCTTTTGGCCTATATAATTTATGATAGCCTTTAAATTCTTCATTAGGCAAGATTTGACAGAAGACATGCGAGAAGAAGCCAAAACTCCAAAAGTAGAGCAAGTTTCAGCAAAGTGAAGTGCAGTTCAAAGTCCTCCTTGGGATGAAGATTGTAGCTAACCACATTGTTTGTGGTGGTTGTGATCGAGTCACAGGCAGGCAGAATAATTGCTGACAGTTTTTCAGAGACAAAGGCACTGAGGCTGAGGCTCATTTTGGAAGGGGGAGCGGTTCTTTGATTCTTCACGAGACAAATGCTCTGCCATTATTAAGCAGAGATTTCTTCTTTCCTTAGCAATCAATGGTAAAGTATATGCAAACTTGCCCGGATTGGAGATGTGTGAAGGAGACTGGGTGAACTGGTATCTGCTGGGAATGGGCCAGGAGATTGACGTGCACACCGTTCACTTCCATGCAGAGACATTCATTTACCGGGTAAGACTCTCCCCAAACTGATGCAGAGGCTTCCTCCCACCCCACTTATAAAATAAATCTAGGGAAAGAGTCTGTCTTGCAGTTAATTTTTGTGTCCCAAGTTGGCAGGTTGATTTCTTTCCTCTTCCCACATCTCACCAAGCAAACTAAGTTGAGCAAACTTATAAAATGCCTGGATTTCTGGCCATGGAATTGGTAATGGCTAAACATTACCCTCTGGCCATCACCCCTGTTCTAGATTTTCACTCATTATCCTTCCATTTTGTGTGTCAGAATGGCAAGAGTTACCGGGCCGATGTGGTGGATCTCTTCCCTGGGACCTTTGAAATGGTAGAGATGCAGGTTGGCAATCCTGGCACCTGGCTTCTTCACTGCCATGTGGCTGACCATATCCATGCTGGCATGGAGGCCCTTTTCACAATCCTACCCCACCAAGGTAAGAAGAAAGCTTGTGGTGTAAGAAGAAAGGTCATGGGCTTAATCTGTTTTGGGGACTGTGCCCATCAAAATCATTCAGTGGCTCCAAGGCATATCTGACCTCCTTGGAAAGCAAGGATGAAATTCCAGAACTAGGAAAGTTTCAGGATAAGTGATGGATCAGTAGAGAACAGCAGCTGGAAGGACCAGAAAAGCTAATGATGTAGCAGATGTGCTTGCTTAGCTGTGAACTGTGAACAGAGAAGAATGCAGATAATTGGGAATCTGTGTCTGGACTTCTGTATGTTGATGTAGTATACTTAGATTTCAGTATTCATTTGACAAAGTAGACCACAACCTACTTCTTGGTAAGCTAGAAAGAGGCGGAATACACAACATCACCACCAGATGGATTTGTAGCTGGCTGACAAACCGTATTCAACATGTAGTCCTCAATGGTACTACAGCCACATGGAGAGAAATAAGCAGTGGGGTACCACAAAGCTTCGTCTTAGGCCCAGTACTCTTCAATATCTTCATAAATGACTTAGATGAGGGAATAGAAGGGGAACTCATCAAATTTTCAGATGACACTAAACTGGCAAGAATAGCCAACACCCCAGAAGACAAGCTCAGGATCCAAAAAGATCTTGACAAACTTGAACAAAAAATGTTGGAGAAGAGCAAAGTTTTACATTTAGGCAGGAAAAATCAAAGGTATAAATACAGATTTAGGTGGGACCTGGCTCAAAAACAGTAACTGTGACTGAGAGGGACTTTGGAGTCTTAGTGGACGATCACTTGAATATGAGCCAGCAGTATGCAGCAGCAGCCAAAAAAGCTAATACAATCCTGGATTGTATAAACAGAGGCATAGAATCAAGATCATGCCAAGTATTAGTACCACTTTATAAAACCCTAGTAAGACCATTGCAACCAATTTTGGTTACTATACTACAAAAAAGATGTTGAGACCTTGGAAAAATTCAGAGAAGAGCAACTAAGATGGAGACTAAAACATATGAAGAACAGCTGCAGGACTTGGGTTTGGCTAGTCTAAAGAAAATAAGAAATAGGGGTGACATGAGAGCAGTATTCCAGTATTTGAGGGGCTGCCACAATGAACAGCAGGTCAAACTATTCTCCAAAGCACCAGAAGGCAGGACAAGAAACAATGGTTGAAAAATGATCAAAGAAAGAAGCAACCTGGAATTAAGGAGAAACTTCCTATCAGTGAGGACAATTAACCAATGGAATAGCTTGCCTTCCGAAATAGTGGGTGATCCATCACTGGAGATTTTTAAGAAGAGACTAGACAGTCACTTGTCTGAAATGGTATAGGTTCTCGTGCTTGAGTTTGGACTAGAAGATCTCCAAGGTCCCTTCCAGCTCTATTCTGTTCTAAGTGCAGCTCTAAGTGCAGTCCAGATCCATTCCAGTATTCAATTCAGTCAGAACCATTCAAAACTTCAGTCTCAATCGCTAATTCAGCAGCACAAAAGAGTTCTGGGGATGGGCATAAATGTTTGTTTGCCGCAGTTCAAGGGCTGAATGTGATGCTTAATGAAAAAGTAGATCCAGATTCACTTCTCTTTGTAAAAGCTGGGTTCCATGCACAGATCTCTTGAGCTGCTTTGTGATCCTCAATTCCTTTTGTGCTCAGCTACACAAAACAGTCCTGATTCTGCAATTTATTTCTTTTCAGATGCAGAGCATTGCAAATACCATGTATTCAGAATTACAGGTACCGTGTTTTCTTTTCATACTTCTTTTCAGATATCTCTTTCAGATATCATGATTGATAGAGATATTCAAAATTTGAAATCTTTTCTCTCCCATTGTTCTTTTCCTGTGGTCCCAAATAGTCACCTTCTGGAATCATCCTGAAAGTCCAACTTTACTCATTCTCCAGCGATTTTCCTCTGTCTTCTGGAAATTCTCTTTCAATATTAACTGGTGCACCCTTATTCATCACAACTTATGCTAGCAGGATTGCCTCTTACCCATGGTTTTTTTATTTCAGGCTGTGGTTTAGGTGAAACTGCTGGGTCTTAGCTATGGCATTTTAGCTGAAGCACAATTAAACATCATGCTCAACCATGCTGTACTTGAATCCTATATGAACAAGACAGTTCAGTTCTTGGTTTTGGCTTGGCATTTTCAGGAAAACCAGGGACTAGTGTAATATATGAATTCAGGCTTAAGCTCAAGAATGACACAGCTGGAAGAGATTCTGTTTGGCCAACTTAGTTCAATTCCAAATTCTAAATGATTTCACATTTAGCCATGTTTTTTATTTATTTCAGTCAGCTATTATACGATTATCGCTGTTGTTTTCCAGTTTTCAATGGCTTAAGTTATTTAACTCCTCTTTGTTCATAGTTTGGCTTTTCCATAATTTGTTCTTTTTCCAGCAGAAACTTCTGATGAGGTAATTGGGGGTCCTTCTGGAGAAGAACACGTGGAAGCTTCTGAAGAAAAAATCTCCCATGACATCATTTTGTTTGGCTCAAGGCTAAACCATAGACATTTAGAAGCAGCAATTATTACACTTGCTATTGCTGGGGTTGTGCTCTTCATCACTGCCAGTGTTCTTCTTGGTGTGATCATTCACCTCAAGAGACAAAAGAAATTGAGACTCAACAAGCGATCTATATTGGATGAAAGCTTCAAACTGATGCATAGTCAGAAGCGTGACCTTTAGAGAACAGTAGAAGAACTCCTGGAAGCTTTTAAGCCAGGCAGTAGTGAAAATGGCTCAGAATAGGATACAGCAATCATTCTATGAAAATTCAATAAGCAATGTTACTAGTAAGTCATTCTGCTAAAAACTCTACATTTTAGGGTTTCAAGTATCCCAGGACTCAGATGGATTCCCAGATCCTTATACCCTTATTCACTGAAGAATAGGACAGAACCTCAAGTAAAGCCACCCAGAATTACGGTACCTCAGGTAAAATGGGCGGTCAATAAATTTGATAAATAAATAAATAAATTCAGACTCAGTCAAGAACTTGGAATCCCTCTGGTCAACAGTTTCCATCATCCCTATCTGATGTTACAACTTGAGACCTGAATCTCCTGCATTCCTTCATTCTTGGGGCAAGTCACCATTCTGTGAGATTAGCCAATTAGTTTCTACATGTTGAACATAACACCTGGCTGGGGAGAAGCAACAGGCACAGAGATGGTTCTTCAAGAGGGCAGGGCAACAAGCATTCCTGTCAGAACCCATTTATATTTCATTTCTGTCTATCTCCTCTGATCTAAAACCAAATCTCACCTTCCCCTGGGTTCTGCCATACTCCCAAGGGGGAGGGGGGATATGCCTGCGGGGTTATTAAACCTTTTGTTTATTGCCTCTGTGTCTGCTGCCCATTACAGTGTAACAAATTGCCTCCTGCACTATACATCTCTCTCGGAACTTTCTTCTTCATAACCTGGCAGCTAGGAAAAGGGGGGGGGGAAAATACAAACCTCTGGAGCCTGGCTTATTTCTCTGGTCTCAAAAGAAGGTGCAAAGAGCTGTTGAACATCATGCTACAACCGGAGCCGGACTGATGTTATCTCCCCTTTCCCACAATGGACTTAACACCTGGGGATTGGCCGGTCTGAACCGACCGGATGAACTGTTGGGTGGGGTTTGCTTAGGGACACTTTAAAGCAGTGATGGCGAACCTTTTAGAGACTGAGTGCCCAAACTGCAACCCAAAACCCACTTATGCATCGTCGAGTGCCGGGTGGGTGTGGCCCATTGGGTGGGCGTGGCTGCGGTGGTAACAGCAGACTGGGTGGGACTAAAAAGTTCAATCATTTCCAACTTTGCAAGATCTTTTTTTCCCCGCGAGAAGTTGAAATTGACTGATTGAACCTTTTTTTTATTTTGCACATGGTGGCGGAGGCCTAAAGCGAAAAGGTTTTATAAAACCCAGCTGGAGGCCTAGGACTGGGGTGACGGCGCTCATGCCCACAGAGAGGGCTTTGAGTGCCGCCTCTGGCACCCGTGCCATAGGTTCGCCACCACTGCTTTAAAGTATCAATCTGTAAAGAAATCCCTCAGATCCTGTCTATTATGCCTGCTATCAACTACTCTTAATAAAAGTTCCTGTTGAAAGAAATTGTTTCCAAGAGTTCTGCTTTCTTAAGATGTGGGATTGAAGTGGGTCCTTACATTAGACAGGATCTACAGTAATAGTCAACCTGGAAGGAAGACCCTTACCAGGGGACTTTGCAAAAAATACAATGTCGGACAACGAGGCAGGGAAGGAAGAAAACCCCGTGGAAAGGGAGCCTTCCCCCCGACCGGGGTCCCGCCAGCTATCGAGATCTGAGATGTCATATTGCTCAGGAGAAGAAGTGGTGGAAATGTTTGACCACAAACCTTGGATGTCGATGGGCATTGGCAAGAAAGACAAGTGGAAAAAGTGATTGAGAAAGGTGACCCTGAGATGGGGCAGCCACCAACCCGAATGGAAGCAAGAGATGGAGAAGTCCCTCCACGTTAACGAAGAGGAAGGAGGTCGTGCGCAGCACTTGAACTGGATCCTAGAGAAAGCTATTGACCTGATGAAAAGAACCCTCAGCTCTCTAGGGGAGGAGAAACCTGAACCCTGCGGCCGCACCAGCACCTGGAGCTGCAGCTGGAGAGACACTGAAGGAAAATCGGAAACTGTGGTCCCGGGGATGTCCGCTGAAACAGCAGCTACCACCTCGGCAGCCCCCACTCCCCACCGACCCGCAGATGGCAATCAGGATGGGAGACAATACCGTCAGCGGTGAAGGCACCGATCCATCCAAAGATTCCCGCCGCTGAACGTGAAATTTGGGGGAGCCGTCATGCTTGGGGTTCTTCCTAGCTGTACTATTACAAGAAAACGACAAAGGAGTATTGCAAACGTGCGCGTACAAGTCCAGGAAACTCACCGAAATGAAACAACGCTGGGCCGTGTGGAAAAAGGAGGCATACGCTGTGAGATGGTTGTTACTTACGTGGCACCATTTCCTTGAAGGGAATAAAATCCCTTTTCAGGTCTGGACGGACCACAAAAACCTGGAAGCCTTAAAAACACTCAGGAAGCTCACTCCCAAGCAAGCCCACTGGTCCCAGCATTTTCACCAATTCCGTTTTACACTCAAGCACTTGCCGGGGGGAAGAAGTTCCTGGCAGATGCACTGTCTCACATGCACCAATATAACAGCACGCGAGCCACCGATTCTAAACCACTCATGCCTGAACCACAACTGGCAGCGCCAGTAACCACTAGAGCCCAAGCTAAATTAAAGCCGCAGTTGGGTAGCCAAACCAGAATCGAATTCCGGAAAACTTTGGAAACAGATGAATGGTTCCAGAAAAATAGTCACGTGTGCACAATCAATGGATGGGGGAAAAGTTATATATACCAACCACCCAGAGGGTCACTTTCATGCAGCTATGCCACGATACAAAATCAGCAGGGCATTTTGGATTTGTAAAAACATTACATTTAATTAAAAGACAATTTTGGTGGCCGTCCATGAAAAAGGACATAGAAAGTTACGTGGCCAACTGCCCAATGTGCGCAACTGCTAAGAGATTGCAAGGGAAATCGCCTGGACTACACTGTCATCTGGGTGGTTACAGACTTGTTCTCCAAACAAGTGCACTTTATCCCTTGCCAAAAGATTCCCACCACAAAAGCCTTAGCGAAACTATTCATGCAGCACATCTACAGACTGCATGGGGCACTCCAATGCATCATATCTGATAGGGGAGTGCAATTTACGTCAGAATTTTGGAAGGAATTTTTATCCCTCTTAGGAACCACTCAGGGACTTTTATCTAGTCATCATCCTCAATGTAATGGATAGTCTGAACATTCTAACTCAGTACTTGAGCAATACTTAAGATGCTTTATTAATTTCCAGCAAACGAACTGGATGGACCTACTCCCTTTCGCAGAAGTCGCTTACAATAACGCAGTCCACTCCAGCACAAGCTACACTCCCTTTCAAATAGCCACCAAAGTTTCAACCCTATGCCAGAACTAATCCCAAATGAACCGGCAATCCCATCGCTGAAAGAATGGATAGCACAATTACAAAACACCTGGCCAGTAGTTAGGAAAGCCTTAGACGAAGCTAGGCAAGCATACAAAGCACAAGGAGATAAAAAGAGTCGAACCCATACCATTCATTGTAGGAGAAATAGTATATTTGTCTACAAAATACCTAAAATCCCTACAGCTCTGTAAAAAACTTGGCCCAAAATATATAGGACAGTGGTGGCGAACCTATGGCACACGTGCCAGAGGCGACACTCAGAGCCCTCTCTGTGGGGATGCACGCCATGTCCTGGAGATGGCAATCATCCCTCTTCAACCAGCTGCCCACTAACTTGCCAAGGTCCCACATGACCGGATGTATCCCAGCACCCATGCGCTCACTGTCCTCTGTGTGCAGGGACCGATGGTGTCAGGCAGCAGCTGCCCCGGCCCCTGCCTCACCTTGCCCTGTGACAATGGCACCCCTGCCTTGCCTTGCCTTGCCTTGCCTCACCCCGCCGCATGAGCTTCCTGCCCACCGCCCCACCTGCCAGAGACCCCCTGGATCTCCCCCAACCCTGCCTGGCCCCCACAGGTGTCCCTCCCCACGAGCAACATTGAGGTGGACATGCCCACCTTGGCCACACCCACCCAATCTGCCATGACCACTACAGCCACGCCCAGCCAGTGGGCCACGCCCACCTGGCACCCGGCGATAAATAAGTGGGTTTTGGGTTGCAGTTTGGGCACTCGGTCTCTAAAAGGTTCGCCATCACTGATATAGGACCTTTTCCAATTAAAAGAATCATAAACCCAGTAACAGTAGAATTAGAACTACCCAAAAGCCTCAGGCAAATACACTCAATTTTTTACTGCAGCTTGCTGAAAAGAGACCAACAGTCGCCCTTATGGTCAAAAATTCCCCCCCTCACCACCCCCAATCATGGTTGAAGGAGAACAACACTTCTAGATAAAAGAAATCCTAGATTCTAGGATTTCACGGGGCAACTCAATACCTAGTAGCATGGTAACACCTTCCCTCCTCACAAAATGAGTGGGTCAATAAACGTCATATCAGAGCACCGAAACTACTAAAGAAGTTTCATACAAAATATCCCGACAAACCAGACTAACCTGTTTTGTTTTCTCTACAGGTGGATCTCTCTTATTTTTAAGGGGGGCAGGATGTCAGAACCCATTTATATTTCATTTCTATCTACTCTGAACTAAAACCAAATCTCATCTTCCCCTGGGTTCTGCCATACTCCCAAGGGGGAGGGGGGATATGCCTGCAGGGTTATTGCTTTCACTTCCTCTATTCGCTACAATGTAACCTTTTGTTTATTGCTTCTGTGTCTGCTGCCCATTACAATGTAACAAATTGCCTCCTGCACTATACATCTCTCTGAATTTTCTTCTCCCTAACCTGGCAGCTAGGAAAAGGGGGGGGGATACAAACCTCCGGAGCCTGGCTTATTTCTCCAGTCTCAAAAGAAGGTGCGAAGAGCTATTGAATATCGTGCTACAACTGGAACTGGACCGATGTTATCTCCCCTTTCCCACAATGGACTTAACACCTGGGGATTGGCCAGTCTGAACCGACTGGATGAACTGTGGGGTGGGGTTTGCTTAGGAACACTTTAAAGTATCGATCTGTAAAGAAATCCCTCAGATCCTGTCTATTATGTCTGCTATAATACAGGCTTCCACCATGAATTGTGGAATTTCCTTGCTGTGAACTCCTTTCATTCTTCAGTAGTCTTTCTCTCAGAAGAACTCCTTTTTGACTCAACCAAAATAGGACTTTCCTCCTAAAAGACCAATGATGACAAAACTGATCTAGCCTCTTACTAAAAGAAATGAAATAATCGGGATTTGGGGATCATGTTTGTTGACCAGCCTTTCCTAAACTAGGAACTCTCCAGATGAGTTGGGATTGCAACTCCCAGGATTACTGGC